GTATAAAAGCAGGGACTATATGTAAAGTTTATTTTATATATTGGAAGATCATCCTGAGTAACTTCTTTAAATACTGCTGTGCTATTTTGATGGATTAGACCTCTCTCTCTGCCTTCAGAAGCTGGAGGTGGGGCAAGAACTGTGACACTGAATAAATTTGGGGAAAATTCCTTGTCTGCTCCATGATTCCAACCAGCCCCTCCCTTACAGCATCTCTACGCTAACTTTCTGCTGCATTAAAAAAAAAAAAAAAAGACTGCAAGGGATCATAGGAGCCCCCTGTGCTTCAGAGCTGCTGCTGTACAAAGGTGTCTTCCTCTTCCTGGTGGCAACGGGCTGTTCCTGCTGGTCTGGGCGTGTTGTGGGCTTCAGCGCTTGCTTCCTTGTTGAAGGGAAGGGGAGATGAACCAAGGAGCAGCACGCTGGAGGAACCCCGCTACTCGCCGTTTGGCCAGCCTTGTGCCTCCATCCTGGCTAGAACCTTGCGGGAGCAACAGCGCTGGCCCCCCGCTGCCCGGTGAGGAGTAAAAGCGCGCTCTGAAAGGTGGCTCTGGGGTTTGGTCTCTTGTGGGAAGGAGAGGGCGGGTACACGACGAGGCTAAGGCAAACGCAGGGCAAGCACAGCAAGGCTCTACCTGCTCTGCTGTCGGGAACCGGAGGTGTGGCAGAAAACAGGCCTTCGTTACGAGCCCCGCAAAGCTGCTCTGCTTCCAGCCAGTGCCTGAAGGCCCCCCCCCCTCATTTAGGGCAAGGGGAGCCAGCAGTCAGCTGTACCTATGCACCCCAGCCGACTGTCCGTGGGGCAGCAGCTGCTGCCGGGACCCGAGTTACAGCCTCTCTCCTGCAGCAAGCGCTGGGCCCTGTTGGCCTTCCTGCCCCTCCCAGCCTGTTAAAGCAGGTTTGCCCTCTTTTGGGATCCGCTTGTCTCACGCTGGTAGCCGGGCAGGGCTAAAAAGGGAAAGGACGTACCCGCCGTGGGGCTGCCGCTCCTCAGAGGCGGCGCAGAGCTGCTCAGTGGCTGAAGCTAAGTTGAATTTTGCCGCTCCAAGGACAAGCAGCTGGGGAAGTAGGACAGAGAGCTGCCGTGGCAGAGCAGAGGTCAGCCACAGCCACCCATCTCTCTCAGCAAAGTAAGGGGCGAGACACCCTGTCCTACTGCCAGCCGGGTCCCGCAGGGCTAGCGCCAGCCCTGATTACACCATCCGCCTTTGCAACAGGGGCAAAGGACAGGGTCACGCACGGTCAGCACTGCCAGAGACCACGACACCCCCAGCACGGCCCCGTGCAGCAAGGGGGTGCGGCAGCCCCAGCAGCCGTGCTGCTTTTCACCCCAGAGCCCCCAAAACCTGCCTGCGGGGGCAGGTGCTGTTGCACAGGAAGATGCAGCGTGTGCTCCAGCTAAGCCGCTGCTATTTGCAGCAAGCTCAAGGCCACACAGATAAACCTGTGCAAGCGGTGCAAGGAAATAAGGGAAGCACCGAGTTACCGAGCTGAGGTTTTCAGCTCCGCCACAGCTCAGTGCTGCAGAGGCTGGAGGGATCGCAGGTCCCGAGAAGGGGACAAAGCACAGCCCACACCCTGAAGTATCTCCCAACCTGCCCTAGGAGCTGTGCGTGTGGAAGCAGAAGGCGATGAGGCACAGAGGACACGGTTTGAGCATGTTGTACCTCACGAGCTGGGGACAAGGGGAAGCACTGCATCCCTCTGGGCCACAGCCAGCCCCGAAAAACATCAGAGGATAAAGCACACTGTGAGGGCAGGGGGAAGGAAAGCTGCTCTGCCCTCCCCAGCCCCAGAAAACCACAGCTGCAAAGAGGAGCTGCAGGACCCCCTGCAAAAACCACCTCCAGGTGCTCTGCACCCAACCAGATTTAAGCCCAGAGAGGGACTCACAGGGATGCCACAGTCACACTGGAACGAGCTACACCAAGCCTGACTCAGCCCTCACAGCCCATCAAGAAGCAGCTTCACCGAGGTACCCGGTGTCTGAGATGTCCGGGGTCCTGTGCTGGCACAGCCAACAAGCCCCTGGCCAGGACAAGGGGGACTGCAGGACCACGACTGGAGCTGGCCAGGCTGGGTCACACCAAGAGCAAAATGGAGCCAGGCCTGCAGCAACCTAGCAGAGAAACTTTTTTTTTTTTTATTTCAACATAGTAGTGCTTGGTTACAGTTTAGTGAAGAACAAATAGGTACATTCATTGGCCATAGCTTCCTGTTGCAGCCAGCTGCTGCCTGACTGCAAAGCCAAAACACTGTTAAACCATACCAAAAAAAAAAAAGAAAGAAAGTTTAATTAAAGGCAACTATGCATTAAAAAAGTCATTGTACTTCTCAGCTATAAATTACTTCAGTAAAACATGGGACTGGCCCCAGCAGGAGCGGTCAGAGTTTCGAAATTAACAGCCATCCATACAAATGAATAAAACCAAAACACTTCGCCAGTCACTCACGAGTACATTAGCAACGAGACTCACTGCCCCGACCTGCCATCCTAACGCCAGGAAGATCGTATTGTTGTTGTGTGCTTCAGTGCAATATGAACAATGAGCCTGTAGCCCTTTAATTTTTTATTTTTTAATTTTTTTTTTTGCACTACGCTCCTTTCCCTCCAAAGAAAAAACTTAAAGTGCTCCTAGTGCTTTGGAATTTAAGCAAGAACAGGGGCCACTAGCGTCACTTACTGTCTTTGGTGACTTATGGGAGAAGAAAGAAGGGCAACGCACTGAGTCCAGGTCCTTCGTTAGCTTTGCCATAAGTCAAGCGGTGATTGAGATGGAGCAACCTGTTTCTGCACCCCAGCCGAGGCAAGGAGACAGGTCCCTTACACCACGTGAGGTGGAGCAGCCAGGAGAGCCACGGCAGGCAGGGTGGAACTCCCTGGTTCAAGTACTAGAGCAAGAGGGAGGTGCTGAGAGTTGTCATTTTGGAGCCTTCTCCAAAAAGAAGCAGGGGTTGCTCCTTTTTTTGGGCCGGCAAGAGCAAAGCAGGTTAGCAGGGAAGAGGCCCACAAGCCAGCACAGGAGACCACACAGAGGGACAGGATGTTCTCAGTGTGACAAGTGACATCTAGCTCAGTACAAGCAAGGTGGGTGATCGGGTGACCAGGCCATACTAGTGAGCACACAGCAAGTGAGGAGAGGCCGGGGCTGCGCCAGTGCTTGGGGTTTCTCTTGCACGCAACAGCAGACACTGAGGCTGGCTCAGGGTCCCTCTGACACCAGACCAGCGTCCCACGCCCAGAGCCAGGCAGCACCGTACCACTCCATGCACAGGCAAGTCCTTCACCCCGGCTGGGTCCTTCAGTGTCAGACTTGAGTTTGAACAGCAGGAGCAGCTCTAGGTAGGTTAAAAGCAGTTCCAGTTCAGGTTGTCACTAGAGGTCCCTCCGCAGACCGGTGCCTCCGTCCAAGTCTGTGTCCAAAGCTGCTTTGCTCATCCCCGCATAGGGCTGAGGAACAAGCCAGGAATAACATCAAGCCTCATCTCCAAGGGCCCAATGGAGCTATGGGCCAGGTCAAACTTGGCTATTTTGGTTAGAGAGAGACAGACAAACCTCCTCCCAGACTGACCCCGCACACTCAAGCCCTGTGTACACAGCTACTGTGGCAGTGGGAGGACTCCAGGCCCACAGTCCTGCCCCATGGCAGGGGAGGGGAGAGCAAGGAGCCCCAGGACCAGACCTCCACAGCATCTGCCACTTCCCTCTGCAACAGCGGGCATTGCCTCCACAAGCAGACAGACACCTCCTGCACCTCACTGGGGACCCCACCGGTTCACATTCACTTCAGGTTAAAACTCTTGGTTATCTGCTAAACGCAATTTAATACTGAGGGGGACAAGGGGAGCCCCACCATGGGTGAAGAGGAGGGGGGAGCAGGACTGCTCTCACCACCCACCAGTTAAAGCAGCCCTAGTTTTACATGTGCTTTGGGCCACACATGTTCCTGCACGCACACTCTTGCTGAGCCAGCTCCAGCTCTGAGCTTTCCCACAAGGCAGCAGCCTATAAAGTCTAGCCCCCTCGCTTGACAGAAGCCACCGTCCAAGCCAGCCCTCTTCCTTTGCCGTAAGCTAGTGGGTTGGTTCCACATAGTGATCTTAATGCCAGTAGGAGCACTTGATCTCACCCTCACAGGCCTCTGCTAGGATACCCTTTGAGCTCAGCTTTGAACCCACAGTCCTAGGTAGGACAGTTCAGCAATCGATCAGGTGAAACGAGGACCAGCAGTCAGAGCAAGACCACACTCAGCCCAGAGGCATCAGCCCTGCTGGGTGTGAATATGGCACAGTATGCTTTAACATTCACCGCAGGAGGCCCTGCCCGTAACACGCTCAGCTAACAGAGCTTCACACTCCCAAGTGAGTCAGGATGCAGAGTACTTCACTGAACACGTCTTTGCAGGAAGACAGTGCCTCTCCCAGCTATGGATGTGCAATTAAAAGAGTAACTAGAACAGTCTCAGACCAAGCACAGTCTGAGCAAGATTCGTTCCTTCCAAGTGTGCAGATAAAAGTGCAAATATGCATTTGATGTTTCTTTTCTAGTGAGGAAGCTCTGGTGCATTTAGCTGCCAACATCTTGAAGACCAGACCAAGAAAAAGCTTCCACAGAGTTCAGCTTCACTTTGCTACATGGTACCTTAAAGTCACAAGTTCTCTTGCTTACTGCCTGCAGCTGTAGGCTCAGTCCTGCTTACAGCTGCAGCAGGTAGTGGAATGTTTGTGTCGATGAGTTAGATGCTTCAGGGAAGAAGGAAAGAGAAAACCAGGTTACAATCCTATACATGAATGCCACTTCTGGGAAGAAAGGGACCTCGCAGCCTCTTCAGTTCTGTGGTGCAGGGTATGAGCTATGGTGATTATTCATCTCCGAGCCGCCTGCGGCAAAGAGCAAGGGGGCACTGTCTGTAGCGGCTTCAGGGAAGAAGGAAAGAAAACCAGGTTTTACAATCCTACATGAATGCCACTTCTGGGAAGAAAGGGACCTCGCAGCCTCTTCAGTTCTGTGGTGCAGGGTAAGAGCTATGGTGATTATTCATCTCCGAGCCGCCTGCGGCAAAGAGCAAGGGGGCACTGTCTGTAGCGGTTCCGCCGAGATGGGGACCCACCGCGTAGCTGTCATTCCCAGCCAGGGACCCATAGCAGCCAGGGCACTGAGGGGTGGCCAAGCTGGGAGGAGAGACAGAAAAACCAAACATGGACTCTTAGAGATGAATAATTTGGCTGCGGCTAGTCTCCGCTGCTAGGAAAAAATTTCTGCTCCCAGCACTGATCAGGGTGTCCAAGTCTGCAGAAGCAGGCTATGACATGCAGGCACCACATCTCCAAGGAACCTGGCTTTGAGGAAACAGGTACAAGGAGACGAGCACCAGGCCCTACAAAACTGGTCAAGAAGAGCCAGAACCTCTGAACCCCTCACTACAGCCCTGGGCAGGTGGAGTTCAGACCCCTGAGCAGCAAGTGAAGGACAGGGCCATCAGGTTTCCCCTTAATTTTGCTAGGGATGAGAATTCTCCCCCACACCAGGTGTTCCTGCAGAGTTTTGTCCCAGTTGACTCCCAGAGACCACATCCCTCCCAGAACTTCACCACCTCTCACTTTCCAGTGGAGAAACTCCTCCGGAGGTCATTTAAGAGCCCTCTGCCCCCACAGCTGAGGAAGGGTCCTAGCAAGATCAGCCCTCCTGGATGAGGCCTCCTGTCTGTAGCCACTGCATATTTCTACCTGTGAGCACCCAGTGCGATATCCACCTCTCAGAGCTGGTCGCTTCTGTCTAATAAAAATAGCTCCTTGTGAGCTGCAGAAGGGAACAAAAACAAGCTCAGTCAGACCGCCCCTTGCCCCATCCACCTTGCCCAAGCTTCCTCTTATACCAAGATTTTTTTCCTGAGAGTAGAAGCCAAGAGCTCTGTTGCTTCCACACAGGGCAGCAGAACAGCAGCTGTGCTTTCACTTGCCCAACAATGCTTACCCTCCTTCTCTGGCCCCAAGCCGTGACAAGTCATCATCGCTGTCGTAGCGCCTCGGATTGTCAAAGAAGTAGGCTCTGGAGCTGTAACTGTGACTATTGACCATCCCCGCCGGAGTCTGTTAAAGAGAAAGGAGTTAGGCCAGAAGTGAGATATTTCTGACAGTCTTCCTAAAGGCCTGCCCCCCCTGCCCCAGGCACTTTGGGGCTCCTCCCTGCACAGGGGTACTCGAGCTACAGCAGCTTGCTCCGGCCTACCAAGTTCTGACTCAGTCTCTGAGCCCGGAAGAACAGCACCACGAAAGTCGTTGGCACCAGCTCCCAGAGGAAGAGGACCACTCCAAACACCACATATTCTTCACTGCTCACTTCCACATGCACCTGTGGACAGAAGTTGAGGTCTCTGTATAATCCTAGCCATCAGTGGAGCTACACAGCTCCCAAAGCTGGTCACAGCACACAGCTTAGAACGAGGAATGCAGAGAAACCCTTAAGAAGGCAGAGTCCCTAAACCAGAATAGCAACCCTTACCTGACTGCTGCTACTGGTTTTAGTGAGCTAGTTCTCTTCAGTGTACTAGCAGGGTACTGTTGGCTCCCTCCCTACACCAGCGACTCTCCCTTGCACACAGCCACACCTGATTAAGCATTGCTTTTCTGCTCTAGTTGACTTGTTCCTCCTCTCCCCCAAAAGAGGAGCTGACAGGCTAAAATTGAAGACCACAACAGGGAATCCCTCCTGAAGAAGTAGCCAGGTAGAGGAAGATTCAGGTTTGCTCTGGTGGAGAGAGCAAGCAGGGCTTCTGAAGGCAGAAAGCCAGCTCGTCTGGGGATTCAGTGAAACAGGCATCCCCACGTAGCCCCCTTTTCACCTGCACATGCCCTCACAGGATGGTAGAGTAACTGCCTTTCACTTTACTAGCTCTGGATTGAGGGCCACAGACACTCACCTTGTCCGAAAGGTTGTCCCAGCCATAGTTAAAAGGACCAGGAACATTGTCTGGAGATATGGCCACAGCTACCAGGTTATAGCAAGCCCTTGAGGAATACAGAAGAGCGACTACAGATCCCACAAGAATAGCCTGGCAGACAGATGTTCCCTAGAACAGGAAGAAAAAACAGTTTCAATACAGACCTTCCTATAGAGCTGCAATTCCCCCCCTCCTTTAAATGCATGAGAAGCTGTACAGGCAAGAATGACCTAGAACATTTGTATGTTGTTGCTAAAATATTCAGAGCTGGTTAAGAGCTTCCTTGTGTGATGAGTTCACTGCAGTAGCAGTTATACAGCCAGTGTCACCAGGGAGCAGGGAAGACTCGAGGCACAGGAGCATCGTTCTCAGGATCTTAGCAGTCAGCTTCAAACTGGTGGTCCAGAGAGATGCTATCCCACCCACTGCCTTACTGCGGTAGTCTCCAGAAGGCCAACCAACAACCATCAAGAAAGTCATCTTGCTGCTTCTACACCCTGATCAGACACTACAGCAGAGATGTCCACCCGGCTCATTCACTCTGCAGCAGTTTGGCACCCCTGACATTGAACACAGCATTTGTCTAGGAAAGAAGCCCAAATGTTTAGGGTGGGCAACTCTGAGAACAGGCAGAAAGAACCAGCACCTGAACCCCAGCGCTGCTGTGGGACAAATCAGGCTTTGCTGTACACGGAGCAGCGTGCTAAAGGGCTGCTAGATGTTGCGGGACCCCTGCCTCCTGCGAGCCGTCCTGTGCTGGGTGAAGAGCAGCTTTCTCCACAGTGTTTCAGACGCAGTGCTGTCAGAAGGATAGCTGCGTGAGGTACCTGAGGGTCACGGTACCTACCTTTCCTGGACGGCTAGCCATGGGAGAGGAAGCTACTTGAAGATCTGCAAGTGTCTCCATTTCTTTGCTAGATACACCCGTGAAGCCTTTTAATAGCTACTGGTAGCCACCAGTCACTGCACTTCAGAAGCCAGTAAGTGGGCAGACAACCACATCCCAGCAGCTGATTTGCCTCTGTATTTAGAGAGACAATCAGCTCAGGAAGCACATCTCATTGACCTGCTCCACATCCAAGCTATAGGTACGCTAGCTCTATTTTCCTAGCTTTACAGCACTTGCTCAAGACTGTCTTGGAAGAGGCAACGTGAAAGTGCTGCTGACAGACAAGTGCCTGTGACACCACCAAAGCACAAGAACACAGCCTGCCCTAGCACTGTTAGCTGAGCCCTTGGTATTCAGGACAGCGGAATAAGAGGCAGAAAGGCTAGTGAAGCAAGTCTCCAGCTGACAAGGACCATAGTATAGGATTTGGCAGCAGTTCAATAGCACAGCCGCCCTCTCAAGTGTCAAATGGCTCAAACCTTCCTACCTTCAGTGGAGGCAGCAGCCTCACCGGGCCCCTCCAACCTTGCTGTATTGTTTTGAGTCAGCAGGTCCACAGCTAGAGTCCAGGAGGCAGGACAGCCTTTTCAGGCATTTGTTTAACACTTCTGCTCATCCCCACCCTATTTTTGCAGCTCCTCCACAACACAAAGTCAGGGGATGCCTCCAAGGCAGGGAAGGGAGACAGCATTTGAATGCAAGAGACCTTTACCAGACAGTCAGGTTGAGTATTCAACCTGAGAGCAGGCTTCTTGAGAGCATGTCATACAAGAGCACAGCCCCACAGGCAGCCTCAGGCATGTAACTAGAGGAAGTTAATGCATTCGTAAACTACTGCTGGGTGAACTTGATAAGTTAGTGTCCAGGGCCAGTGAGAGCTGGATACCTGGCCCATGCAAGGAGGGATGCGAGCAGGTTTGCAGCTTAGTCATGGCTCCTCTGTCTCACTTCAGATCACCTGGCTGCAATCTGCAGCCTCTGTGGACAGCTGTCACCAGAGCCAGCTAGGCAGCCACTCCCAGGATTCTGGGCAACCACCGAAGCTCTCTGCTGCTTAAGAGAGCCAGACTTCTCCTACAGAAAGCCTCAGCTTCAACCTTGACAGCACAGCTCTGGCCACCCTCTCAGCTTTCACTCAGCTGCCCTCTCTAAAAGAAGGGGCAGTGGACTGCAGCCACTTGAGCTGTCATGCAGATGGCCTGCTAAGTAGCAAGGAGATGCCTCCAGCCAATGCAAGGCAGTTGCCTGGATCCAGAATGTCTTTGTAGCAGTGTCTGCTGCAAGGTGGCTTGTCACCCTCCTCATCCTCTTGCTGAGGGGGGACAGAGCCATCCAACAGCCTCCAGGAGCTCTACACTCTGGGCAGCCTCTCACCTGAGCCAGGCCTGGCAGCACTTTAAGAGCATACAGATTCACCTGATTGATGACACATTGGAAATAAGGTCTCTGCAGGAGGCCAGAGCCCCACCTTCTGACACCTGGAAAGAGGTAATTCAGAGCATATGGGGTGAGGAGCTGTACTACTGGGAAAAGACAGTAGCTCAAAACTACTAGAGCCAGGCAGCTGACTTCCCTGAGCCTGACTATGCTCAAGTGCTCAAGTTTTTCCTATAGATGTTTCCAGGCTCATCAAGAGACTGCTGTCTGCCCTTCTCAACAGGCCAGGTCCCCACCCTGGAATCACTGCCTTTGATAGGAGTGATATGGCTTCCCAGAGGAAGAGGAGGCAGCTCAAGCACACACTTAATTGCAGCCTACTGCCACACTAAGGTGAGACTGCTGGTGTCTTCTCAAGCAAGTAGGAAAGTGGATCAGAGTTGTGTATGTTCAGACCCTCACCCATCCTTCTGCCTTGGGGCAGGACCTACAGCAACTTTCTCCTCCCCTCCTAAAATGCTCATCTCATCCAGGACAGGCGAGCACTGCCTCTGGCTCAGGCAAGCAGGCAGCTAAAGCTGGACTGCTGGGGGGATCCCCTTTGCAGAGTTGTTATGCATCTGCCAGAAATAACAATATGCTGCAGACTTTACTGTCCTTAGTGGCAATATACTGCAGAAACTGCATCTGCTACTCTTAGAGAACCCTCTCTTCCAGTCAAACCCTAAGTTATACTTCTAAACCTGAAAAGCATAAGCAGCTCTTAAGTCTCCTGTTGTGCCAGCAAAGCTGCAGACAATGCATTCCCCTAAAATGTGCAGGGCACCTCATTCCTACAGCAGGAGCATGCACTTTCTGGACAGAGGAGTCCAAGAGCTGCCACCTCCACCCTGGAAGGAATATTTGAGCAAGAGTAGCTCAGGTGCAACCAGGCCAGCATTGCTCTAAGTAAGCACACACAGATCCAGTTGAGAATCCAGCTGATGATGGTGCAGTTCCAGTGTAGTTTACAAGGCATTTACCTACCTTAGACTCGAGGTAGACATTCGCTGAAGACATCTTTCCCAGTTTGCACATGCAGCAAGCCAGCGAGATGGCACAGAGGATGAAGAGGCTGTCGTTGACCAGGGCACGGGCAAGGACTGTCCACCTCAGCTGGTCCTCCGGGACCTCACCATGGATTAACATTGCACAAGTTAAGTTCACAACTAAGAAGAGGAGGCTGGTAAATATGGAGCCCAGATACAACAGGACCCTGGAGAGATGGTGGGGGAAAAAAAAAAATGGAGTTCAAGTCAGACAATTCTGGTGTTGTTCTCCACCACCCTCCTGTCTCATCAGGCAAGAGAACCTCCAAGCATGCCCAGTGCTCTGCTTGCTGTGAAGATCAGACATTCCACCAAGTTTCAGTGGTTGTATCGACAGCCCAAGTCTACAGAATATTTGTTTGAGCTGCTCTCATAATGCATGAGCAGTGTAAGTAGTCATGAGTTACAAGACTCATCTTCTGACAGTCAGGTTCTTATCTTGCAGATTTTAAGCATTGCTCTAGCTCTGCATTAACTTCAGTCAATAAGCTATGAGTCATCACAACCACTGCAACTTCTTTATTGAAAGCCACTGGAGCTTGCATTTTCCACTGTGGGTTTTGCTAGAAATGGCTAGGAAGCACCTGGGCTGCACAAACAGGTCCCACCTATTGCTCAAGCCTTATCCTGCAGATCTTTTTCTGGGGGTGGGACAGCTCAGAATGACCTCAAGAGTTCATGTAGTTTGCTAGCAGCACCAGTACTGGGATGCTGATGACATGTATGGAGGCACACAGCACATGCTTTAGCTTCCTTGGTACCCTTGAAGCTCCCAGTCCTGCTCCAAGGCACAACACTGATCCTTTGTCAGAGCACAACAAGGTATGGCACTAGCTCTGTTCAGTCTTTGGGTCTGAAGTTCCCATTCCCAGCACCGCAGCACAAGTTCACCTTAAGCCAGCTTTGAAGGCAACGTTAGAAAAGTATCACTTACTTGTACTTGTTGAATTCAGCTGCACATTTCACTTTGAATATGACCTAGGGGAAAGATTTGCACAGCATTACTTAACATGACCTACAGTTCTCCTTTAAGCTTAGTAAAGATATATACAACAGGGAAGCCAGCATCCACTTGGACATCTTGAAGGACTCCAGATTGTCTATTAGCACCAAGTCTTGCACTGGACCCACATGCAAGAAAGACTGGTATTCTTTTTCCGGCAAGAGCCAAGCCCAAATGTAGGTGTCCAATAGGCATAGAATCCTAAAATCATTTGGGTTGGAAAAGACCTTCAAGATCGAGTCCATCCACAAACCTAACACTGCCAAGTCCACCACTAAACCATGTCGCTATAAACATATTTAATATCATATATGTGACAAGGACTTAAATAACACCACACCTAAGGACTTCAAGAAAAGCAGGGAGTTTAGCAGTCACTAAGAACATTCAAAAATACATCTTTGCCCAGTGTTCTGTGCTGCATATTTTAGGACCTCAATCACACTTGATTCTCCTGTTGGAGAAGGCTGCTTCAGCTGCTGTGCTTTAGCAAGACAAATAGCTGATCTAAAATAGCCCTCTGGTATTGGATTATGGACCCATAGGCCACAGCAAGCATTTGGAGCTCACAGCTCCTCCACCCTTAAGATGTCTGTAGGTCAAATACACCTGAAAAGTAACTCTGAGATGGTAGGAAGTCCTCCAGAGGTGGAAGGCCCAGCCTGCCAAGTTGCATGGCACACTTGACAGACAAGTGTATTAGTCTGCAAATAACTGACTGTCATCTATTTCACTCTTCAAAGCAACACGCACTCTGTCCAAGAGTGGATCTGGGTTCTGTGAATCTCCTCACCACACAAGGGATTAGGAGTCTCAAGCTGAAAGTTGCACAAGAAGGACCGGTGCTTCAAAGCAAAGGCTCACAGGCCTCTCCTCAGACTGCAGGGTACTGAAGCCATGCCTGCACCCCCAGCCATTTGGGTTGGGAAGGCTGGAGGAGAACCATCAGCTCATACTCAGGCAACACTCTTTCCAATATGGCAGACAAGCTTCCATGTCCCTTTGGGCTGGAGGGTGGCTCCTGATGAAGCCTACAGGGGCAGGACTTCTAGCCTAAGGAAGTACAGACGGTTTGGGAAGGTGCGGACACACTCCTAAGTCACAGCTTGGATGTGAGCACAGCAGTCCTGCTGCAAGGGGACAGGTAACTGGTGCTCACACGCGGTCAGGGCAAGCAGCAGGAAAGCAGCATGCTGGCAGAGCTACATGGGGCTCGCTTGTCACACACTGATTCAGCACAGCCATGGCAGGAACTGGGTTTTGTCCTGCAAAAAATGCAGATCCTGGTACAGACCCCACCAGGAAGGATCCCAGAGCTGAAGGTCACATTCAGTCTCAGACAAAGCTCGTGTCCTAACTAGAGGCTTTGAAGGAACTTGGGAAGAGGTAGAGAGCCATCTAGCCAGATCCAGCAGACATGTACTTGTGGGGTGAGCACAAGACCACTGTGGAATCACTGCAGAGGTGTGGAGGTTTAGTTTCACTGCTTCTGCAAGGAGTCCTCCCCGCAGCTTCCAGACTGTGGCTGCGGTGAAGGATCACTCCTCTCTTACAAGGCACCCTTAGTCAGCTTTTTTTCCTGATGGGATTTCTTGGCTCCCACCTTCCAGTCAGCACTGAGGTAGCGATGGCACTCCGAAGCTTCAGAACTCAGGCTCCTGCCAACAGGATTTCCAGAGACACTTCAGGATTTGAGGGTTGTCTGATCCACTGTAGTAGTTTCAAGCATTTGAAAGCCCTCCTACAGGGCATCGGACAGCTTCAGCAACCCTGTTCTGAGAGCCAGTTTCACTGTCTGGCTCCTCTCCCCAGTCTGAGGGAGGATGAACTCAAGAAGCACTTAGTGGGGAACAAGACACAGTACTTCAGCAGAAGGAAGTATCCAGTCCCCATGACCGAGGGGCACAGTACTACAAGCAGTCTCTGAAGCCCTCTACCTGGTTGTCCTGGCCTATTCCAGCCCAGAGAAGTACAGAAGCATGGCATAATCCACTCTGAGCCCCAAAGCTCATCTGAGTTACAGGAAACCTGGGCCTTGGAAGGACCATGTGGTGACTTCAAAACAGAAAAATCCCCAAATCCTCCCCTATCCTTAGTTTGCCTGTAGGCTACATTCAAGCACTTCAGGAGTGTCAAAACAGACATCAAGGACATCCAGCTGGGAAACCTCCTGGTTCAGCACCCATTCACGCAGCATGGAAATCCACTTGAGGTATTTGTACTTCTGCTTTGTCTCCCAGAAGAGCAGTCTGGAACCGCAGCCTCTGAACAGCAGAGCAAACAAAAGTCCCTGGCTTGTATTCCAGCTGATCACCCTGGGTGAGAACAGCCCCTCAGCTGAGCAGGGAAATGCCACCAGCTAACAAAAAGATGCCGGCTTCCGCAGCTGCAGCAGCCCTGTGCAAGACAGTCTCCCAAGACTCTCCCCTGCAGCCCCAAGCCCTGGGGACTAAGGCACACAAAGCTGTCTCAGGATTAAGAGTGCAATGGCAACCCAAGACTCACACTTGGACGGCTGCCACTAAAAGCAGAGGGACACCACAGCACCAGCCTCACACTTTTATTAGCCCCCAGCTATTTAGTCCTATAACTTCAGGAAAAGAACAGGCATCACTCAGTTTACAGTGGTTTTAGTTAAGACACAGTAACTCATCTGAAGGTTGCTTTTTCTTCACAGGGCCTGGGTCAGCAGGTGACACCAGTAGTGTTCACAATGCACCTTTGGGTTCTTATCCTTGAGACAATCTTGCAAGACTTTCAGCACTGGATTCTCTCTGCTGCTTTCAAAGCCCAAGGACAGCTGATGTAGAGAGTTCTGCTGTGAAGAAGCCAATGCAGAGAGCTCAGGAGTAGTCCTGTTCTTCATAAAAATAGGAAACACAGACCCCTGCCCTCAAACAGGTGCATTATGCCAAGTTGCTAGTAGCAACCCTTGCTAATTGAACAGTTCCTTCAGTTGCTAGCTGAGAGGCCAGCCCCAGAAGTCACACAATTGCCTGCTGAAAACAAGGAACAGATCTCTGCTAGCCCAGAGCAGCAGGACTGAGAACCTTTACTCCTAAGCGAGCCTTTTATAACAGTTAGGCAATACTCAGTTGTCTTTCTGGAGCCACAAGTCCTTTAAGTGCTTCACATCAACCACAGACTTGGGAAGAAGGCAAGGCCAAGAAGGGCTACAGACCTCAAAGTCCCCTGTGATGCTGGAGGCTTTTGTTTTTGTGATGACTGGATATATTTCACAGAAGTGAATACCTTGCTCACATCACTGAGCCCAGAAAGTGAACTTGCTAAGGGTATGTTCTCAGAGCATTGTTTAAGAAACAGACTCATCCTTAGAAGGTGTACTGGAGGTGTCACAGCTGTAAGAGAAGATGACAAGCGACAGTCACCATATCCCACAGATGGCTCCAAGGACCACTTTCAGTACCTGTACAAGCCAGGACCTTAGCCCTAACGTTGAGCCTCAGAGAGCACTTCAGCTTGGTTTTGGTACAGCCATTCACAACGGATCTGAGAGATCCAGGAGAGCCAGAAACTTGTCATTGTCTGTCTGATGGAATCAAAGTCTCTTTTGTTCCATAAAGAAATCATGAGTTTGGGCTCTCGAGATACAAGACATAACCATGTCCTGCCTTGACACGAACACAGCCCTCAATCAGTTGCAAGAACATCCACAGCCAGATTAGATTCCTTCTCTCGCCACAGTCATTCAGCACCGAGCATTGGATCAGAGCAGAGACTATTCTGGGACTACACCCCATAACAAGTGTTCAAGCCCCCACCCACCCCTCAGAGGAAAAGTTGGAACTATCTGTGAGGAGGATCTCTCACCATCCCCACTAATACTGAGATAATCCTACACCATCATGAACACAAGGTGCAACTTGCATGTACCCTGATTTCCTAGAATAGCTGGTTGCTGGCATGGCCACCTGTTCATTTGGGAACCAGGGGGCCCATGGGAATCATCAGCTATGGGATGGAGCAGTTTTGAGTTTAAGTGACCCCTTACCAGCTGTCCCTCTGAGGCAGAGGTGTCTGCTAGGCAAGGAAGGTGGAAGAGTGCAAGAGCGGATGGAGGCTTTTCCAGTTTTCCATCTGAGAAGGCAGGAAGATACAGGACAGCAAGGACAAACGGCTCCCAGGCTGGATGCTCTTTCCATGCATGTCTGCTCCAGTGCAATTAGAGCAGCAAGGGATGAGAGAGGCTGATGTCATCTAATCAGATGGAGCACTTAAAGAAACCCACACAGGTTAAGGGTTATGGCAACGCCAGTCTGGCAGAGCAGCCCATCAGAGCCTCACCACTCCAGCAGAAGGCCTTACTCATTGTTGCACACAGTTGCTGACTCCCAAGCGAGGCAAGGATGCCAAGTGCTCAAGAAGGTCTTTGAAAGGGTCAAGATGAATGTTGTTGTGGCTACATTTCCATGTACTGTGCTCCTGACAATGACCTGGGGGAAAGCAGGAACTGGCAGAGTCTTGGGAAAGGCAGCATTACTCAAGCAGATGTCTAGCTGGCAGCAGAGGAGCTATTCCAAAAAGCAAGGCAGAGAAGCACCCTGAGTTGGATATCTGAGCCATTGTTCTGCCTGTTTGAGGCAAGATTGGGAGTGGATCTGAGGAATTCTGACCTGACATACTCTGAACTTCAGATTTCCTGGAAAGGAACTCATTCTTTTACAAGCTGAAGCAGAAAGGAAGAGACACGCTGAAGCAAAAGGCATTACACCTTTTGATGTTCCAGGTAGAAATAAGGCAGTGACAAAAAGAAACTGTCACCACCAAATAAGCATCCCACACGTGTTTTGTCAGGCCTCCACGTCCCCTCAGGAATCTCAGGGGCCAAGAGGGGATAGGAAAAGGATAGCATCTCCCCACAGAAAGGAGAAACACTAGGCAGTTTCATGAGTTTGAATTTTAGCCCCAGAACAGCCTGAAGTGCAAAATAACGCTAGCTCTCCCTGGGTATTTG